GTTGCGTCCTTTAAAAACGCTGTTATCGAGCGAATATCTTGAGATATGTTCATTATTTTGTATTGAAGTATGATTTTTTGTATCTGCGTGGGTTTGTTTGTTAGCTTATAGCTATAAATAAGCGATTTTAAGTTCGTGTTGTAAATTTTAGGACGTACGAGCGGCCATGTTTGATCAGATATACAGATTCTCGCCGAATTATGGCTTGTGAAACGTCGTCATGAGAACATTCGTATTCTTCAACGATTTAAAATAAATGAATGATATTTGGTGATGAGCTTAAAGTTGATGTAAATCAACACGATTCTGTATCAGATATACAAACTCCTTCACAGTCATGATTTCTTTTGTGTAACTTTTCTTCATGAATTATTAATGAGTTTCACAAATATCATATCCTTAGAAGAATATATGGATAACACAAAATTTATATGTTCAGCTCTTTTAGCTTTTTTTACACTTGCTCAATTTTTGGTATGGCACAGATTCGTTACCATATTTATCCATGCTCAGTCTTCAAGCACAGATAAATATGGTACGCCAAGGTGAAATCGCAAGGTCACTGGGCTATTTACCATTAACCATTTTATCCATGCTCGGACTACAGGCATGGATATAAAAGTGGTTCAGGTAGACAAAATTGATTGGCCTTAATTAGTAACATTTTCAGTGAAGCAGTGAGGTATAAATTCAGTGTTATTATTTATCTGGATACCTAGGTATTCATGTACTAGTGTACTGGATAATAACCGGATACTGATGGTGGTAACTTGGACGATACGTCACTAACTTTTTTTAATAAATTAGTCCAATGTTTGTTATATATGTGACACAAGGACTGTCAGATAGTATACAGCAGAGAGTTTACCCGACAAAAAACTTACCTGTAATTTGGTTTTAATGTGTCACATGATATCACGGCTTTGATAAACATCCAAATAGTGACATTTCAAAGTTGAATTAGCTTATGTTGATTCTAGTAACAGTATAAAGTTCATTCAAAGCATATCTTTTATGGTCAGGAAAAACATTTCGTGACACGATTCATCCCACTAGCTGGCCTGCATGGCCTGGCTCATATGAACAACCTCTTTAAGTGTGAGATTGTCATTATTAAGCGAACAAATATATTGTCTGCATGGTGCGAGATCTGGTGTATTGGGAGGAGAATCTAAGCAATATATATATATATATATATATATATATATATTAGTGCTGTGCGCCGGAGTTGCCAGAGCCGGAGTTCTGCCGGAGCTCCGGCGGTTTTTCCGACGCCGGAGCAGAATTTTGTATGCCGGAGCTGGAGTTACGTTTTCCCAGCTCCGGCAAAATTACAAGAAAACAATATGAAATGAGACAAATGTCAAACGATTGTTAGTTACTGCAAACTGCCAATTGCTGTTAATGAATTCATTATAGACTCAAACTGCCACAGCCCACAGGAACAGCGTCGAAAAGCTGTAATACGATCGCAACTTACAAATGTCATGCTTTCATGAATCCATCCGACTTAGCCCTACATACTGTAGTCTGTGTATTCATTCCTTGTAGATAACGAAAAAGTACAAAACAAATAAATATCAACCTTTTGAAAATGACAGAGTACTTTGTTTGCGTGCGAACAATTGTGCTGTGGAGTCTGAGAGTGTTAGCGTCATGCCTCGCGTCATGCCTCGTGTCAAAGATTTTTCGAGGCTGGTTTCCATATAGATATTTTCTGCGTGGTTAAGTGTTTTCACTGTTTTGTTTCCTGAGTTATGTTATCTGATAATTAGGAAGCGCGAAAAGGGTTATTCATAATAATATTAATAAATGTTCTCTGATCGTAAAACATTTATTTAATATTTTATGATGTGGCCGGAGCCGGAGCTCAGAGCTGTAATTCGGCCGGAGCCGGAGATGAAAAACCGGAGTTTGCACAGCACTAAAACGTTTTCCCTGAGTTTGGATAATGAATTTAGTTAAAGGAGATTGGCAATAAAAAATTAGTTTAGTTCATTTGAAAGAACTCTTAAAACTATGTATACTCCATTATATGCAGATTGTTTATATCTTGCTTAGTTTTCAAAATATTTCGACTGAAAAAAGTGAGCTGTTCGCCATCTTGGATTATTGAGGATATGCATGTTACGTCAAGAGAGGGGTCACGCAAATTTTTTATCTTCCAGAGTAAGCGATCAATATGGGTCCAAAACTTCGTTTCTGGTTGCTGTCTGAAATTTAGAAATGATTAGAAACATTTCAAACAATTTTGGATTGTTTAGAGTAGTTTTACATGGTTAACCCAACTCCTGACGTCATCAAAACCATAGTTAATGAGGTCAAGAATTAGTCCAAGATGGCGGACAGCTCATTAATTTCGGTCTAAATATTTCGAGAACTAAGCAAGATATGACAAATCGATAATAGAGTTTAATATATTATTTTTTATTACCAATGTTCTTCAACTGTAAAATTTCTAAACACAGCTCAGGTGCATGTTTATTTACATTTGGCAAATATTTTTAAAGTTTGTCCAACAAGGTTAAACGACGCCGCTTCGAAATTTTTGACGTCGTGTGAAAACGGAATGAATATGTCGAAGGAAAACATGTAAAAGCGATAAAATAATTAGGAACATTTTGTAAAATACTTGAGGGCATAGTGTAAGTTAAAATTGTCAAGTTAAAATGGAAATCGTACACAATTGTAACGTCGAATTTTAGCGGGAAACGGAAACGTCAGCCGCGCAGTTGTTCCAGTCTCTAGACATTCCGTCATGGTGATCGCTAGATAGTATACTTCAAAATAAGGTTTCCGTTTTTATAACGTAGAAAAACTATCCTAACTCAAAACTAAACCCTAACCCTAATACTATCCCTCACCCTAACCTTAACCTAACCTAACCCTAACTTATTTTAAAAATTGATATAAAAACGGAAACCTTATTTTGAAGTATACTATCTAGCAATTGCCTAGCCCTGATCACAGACCTACATTTCGCCCGCCCTAAAATTCGCGGGTCGACGAAAGGCTATGTTTCGCCCTTTCCGTCGATGAATTTTAGGGCGGGTGAAACGTAGGTCTGTTATCAGGCTAGCAATTGCCATTCCGTCATATCGTCATTCTCGTACCCAGAGCCCTTGTAAGAAGGGCTCTGGGTACGAGAATGTCATATCGTAAGGCCTATAATGTGTTTGGAGGATAAAAGAATACGGAAACTAACCTTGTATTTTGCTCGCTATTGGAAAACGCAACCAAACACTGCAGTCTTACCTGTACATGACGTTGTTTCAACAAAGTTTCATACAAGTTTGAGGGAGGAGCATTTATCTTTCCAAGATCTTGTCTTGCACATTCTGACACGAATTTCTTAGCAAGGATCATACTGCAAAGATTTATTAAAATATTTCGGTGAAATTAAACCGGAAGTGGTGAAACGAATACATTGCTCAGCCACTTATAAAGATACTGTATATGTACACGTTTATACGAATATGATATGGGTTTGGATAAAATGGCCTTAACGAGTAAATGGAAGAGTGACTTAAGCAGGGCAACAACTGTCCATTTTATTATACATTTGGGATCCCTCCGGACAGGTAATAAAGTGTGTTGTTCATATAGCTAGAGTGAACACCAAACGTGATTGCGGATTGGCTAATTTGTGATTAGAGGTGCACCGGATTTCAAATCCGGCCGGAATTCCGGCCGGATTTAACGAATTTTCCGGCATCCGGTATCCGGCCGGATTTGGAGAAAATCCGGCCGGATTTAAATTTCTGTTTTCACCTTAAAAATTCACCAAGAATGGGATAAACCATCAATTTGGCAGCTTTAGAGTTTAAAAAACACTTATATTATTATAAAATATTAAGTTATTAACAAAAAAATATTTAAAAAAGGTTTAAACACAATCAAAAATCTAAACTGACCCTAACTAAAAATAGTAAAAAACATAAACCGCCATTTTGAATACTGATTTATCCAAAATTGTCCCCATTACCGGTTTATTTTAAATCCAGCAAATCCGGCCGGAATTCCGGCCGGAATTTTTGTCCAAATCCGGTAAATCCGGTTCCGGCCGGATTTGAAAATTCCAAATCCGGTGCACCCCTATTTGTGATCACGTGGCTTTAGATAAATGCAATGTATCCCGCCGGCAACAACAAGTGAAAAACTGTTGCCCGCCCCGACTAGCTACTGTACGTACATAAATAAACAAAATGGCGGCACAACTCACAAGTTTATAATAAACTACGATTTTCCAAGTTTGTGTTAAAATAAAGGATGTAAGAGAGGGAAAATACACAACATGCAACAGGATATGATGCTGAATCCATTTAAGCATGCAGGTTCTTTTAAATTTCATTTGTTCACATGAACCAATTCATGTGATTGGTTGTTTGCAAACTTGATAACTTCCCGTATAATTGATAAACGTTCTGCATGAATGCAACAATCGCCTTTGGTTTTGGTGCAATTGATCAATCGTAAAGAGAGTGACTTGAAATGATCAATACATGACGTTGCGGGTAGTTCATGCGCGTAATTTGACGTCATTCATCGCAAGGAATAAGAGACCTTACGACGGAATTTTTACCAATGTGACATAACAACACTTCATCATCGAATATGCGAGAGAACGTTTACCTGCAAGCTTGGGCTTTAAAATATGCAAATACATGTTCACTGAGCTTGTAGACAAATTGATCAAAACACAAGTTGACCTAAAAAAACACGCTAAAGTTAATCCTAGTAGGAATGGAAGTTTTTTAAATCATAGATGTCTATAGGCATGAATATTGAGAATTAGAATTCTGCTCAGAAATAACACTGCATCCGCGTTCCCTTTGCGTGAGTTTCACCGGCGTGCCAAAATGTTCCCAACGGGTTCCACAATTCGGTGTATAGCTGCGTCCTTGTTCGCCCTAGCGCAGGATACGCAGGCCACGTTCTTGTACAGGAAAACCTCTTAAAGCATTGAAAATTGAGTGTTTTTCCACGTAAGCAATTCTTCAAATGCCCATTTATATTTACACAGCAGGCAAATCATATACCCAAACTGAAATTCTGAAGGAAAACAAGCCAGGCAATCCCCACCTACCTAAATAACCCGAGTAAAAACAGACTTAATGTACAAATTAAGCTTTGCAAACAGCGTACTCCCTTTTGTTAACTAAAGGTACATTTTATGGTAGACACCATTTATCAGGGGGCCTTAATAGCTCGAAATGTCGAGATTTCATGGTTATATACGTTTACGCTGGTGAAATCATACTCATGAAAGTTGTTTGGTACATGTAAAGCTTTTCTGCTAGGATCATTTTCTGGAACTACAAATGAAGTAATCTTGTAATATTTACACAGTAATAACCGCAATCACTGACCTCTGCTTCAATTTCGTCGTACAAATATTGTTTCCTAAACTTTGACTGAGCATATTCTCCACTGTCGTTGTACAAATCCAGCGGATATAACACGTACCTTGGGAATGGAAAGACTTTGTAATTATAACATTGTGGCATTCACATATCTGTATACAGCTATTTCAATTAAAGTGCTATTTTTCTATTCTCACCTCATTTTTTATTGTTTCAGTCTAAAAAGTACTGCTGGAGTGATGAAGAATGACGTTTACAGTTGCGTCATATCTCATCTAATTCTCAAGTTATCACACTTTCTATATTTTGAGTTGTGACGTCGCAAGTATGAGTTGAGATAATGGCAATAACAAGAAAGTATGCTATCTTGGTGAGTATTTAATAAAATTCAATGAAACTTGGTACACTTAGTGGGTGCACTCATATGAATATTTTTGGTAGGTCATGTGGTTGTCATGGCAACACACTAGTACCCAGTCTCTTCTCTTCCTTTCACAACTTTCCTCCCGTAGACCTCTTGCAGAGGATGTTTACATATTATAACTGTTTAAACTGATCACAATACCTACACGTATTATAATAATAAGCGACAATTGCAGAAATTACTGTTTATTTCGTTGAAAATGGATCATATAGAAATTGGAAGAGAAGGGACTGGGGACGAGTGTGTTGCCATAACAACCATATAAACAAGCCAAATTGTTGACTTTGTTGCACCCACTAAGTGTACCAAGTTTCATTACATTTTATTAAATACTCACCAAGATATCATACTTTCTTCTTATTGCCATTAATTATCTCAACTCATACTTGTGACGTCACAACTCAAAATATAGAAAGTGCGATAACTTGAGAATGAGATGAGATATGACGAAACTGTAAACGTCATTCTTCATCACTCCAGCAGTACAATAAAAAATGAGGTGAAAATTTCGTTGCATAGGCACTTTAATTAAAGGTTGCCCACAGGCAAAGCGGAAAAGTCGAATACGAGCGCGAAAGGCTTGCTGGGAATCGCTAAAAAAATAATTAATTTATTAGCGATTCCCAGCAAGCGTTTCGCGCTCGTATTCAACTTTTCCGCTTTGTTCGGGGACAAGCGTGTCTGATTGAAATAGCTGTATACAACTGCTGCATGTACGCAATAGTAAAATTGGTAAAATTGGAACGACTTACTGAGATTAGTTCAACATTATTTGTTGAACTAACTTAGTTCCACAAACAACTATACTCAGTCCTAATCGTTGAACAAACTTTATGTTTTGTATAACTTATGGTGACACAATAGGGCACAAGATAAACCGTGTTGTAACGTCAGTCATTACTATGTGTGATAACTGTTGCCTCGTATATACCCAAGCGCGCTATGTTGATGTTACAGTGAATATACTCGTGTGAGAAGGCTTGCTCAGCTGCAAGTTAAACCTGTACTATTTTATGTAGAAGTCTTTGTCACAGTTGACACTCGCAAATTTGAAAAACATAAGATGATAACATCATTATTGCACTCACTCCATCATACTTGGCTCCTGAGTGTCCAAGATATGTTCAGTCAAAATCCATGGCATTGACATTTCAATTGGAAACTAAACAAAACATAACTGTTTAAAAAATCTTAACATCATTAGAACTTAAACTACTATAAAACGGTCCCGCTTGTTCATCGCACCTTTTCACAAGTTTTGTAAACATAAAACAAAGCTTTGCTCTGTCAGTTTTCTTTATAAATAAAGCGCGGGGAAACTGGTCGGGGAAAGTTATGAGATCCCGACATCATTTCTTCTTCGTCAAAATTCGGTCAAATCACCTTTGCAATATTGGGCTCAGCCCAGGGGAATAAATAATATTGACAAAGTCGTAAATGACTTTGGGTTTAAATCGCATTCGTTTTTTCCACAATGTGAGGTTCAATCAGCTATAGTTCACGATGATTTCATTCCGTATTTTCGGACTCCTGCCATATATCATGTAATTTCAAACAGATCCTACTATGTATATACAGTTTCCTCATCAAACGCGAGTTCACTCACACTGATCTACATACAGAGTATAAAGCAGTTAACTGTTACCTGTATTCGTTTTCCCATAGTAAGTTCCAAGAAAAACTCTCTGAACCACAACTGCGAAAGATCACAACATTCTCGTAATGTCTCACTGAAATGTAGCAAATGACTGAAAAAGAAGGATAATTTCAGGAACTGTTCAATCGCTTCAACTGTTTCTTTTTCTAATTCTTTACGCATGCTCTTCTTGCCAGCTTTCTCAGAAATCAAGGACTCCAGCGTGGTACGCACCATGTAAAGCTAAATAACGGGAAATGAAACATTAAATAAAAATAAACTGGACTGGTAGCTCAATTTCTTGCGAGTCTATCGATAAATATCATTTGTATGTACATGCCACACCAACTTATACAAG